AAAAACCCAGGGGTTGAGATAAAGACAGTTTAATAGGACAGCAAAGGAAGAGAAAATAATAATAATGATAAAAGAACATACAAAACAAGTGATGCACAATGCAACTGCTCACCACCCACTGACTGACACCCAGCCAGTCCCTGAGCCGCAATCGCTGCCCCCTGGCCAACTCTCCCCAGTTTCTATACTGAGCATGACGTCACATGGTATGGAATACCCTTTGGGCAGTTTGGATCAACTATTCTGGCTGTGCCCCCTCCCACTTTCTTGTGCACCTGGCAGAGCATGGGAAGCTGAAAAAGTCCTTGACTAGTGTGAGCAGTACTTAGCAACAACTAAAACATCAGTGTGTTATCAACTCTATTCTCATACTAGATCCAAAACACAGCACTATGCCAGCTACCAGGAAGCAAATTAATCTCTATCCCAGCCGAAACCAGGACAACCTATTACCCAGTTGATGTAAAAAAAAAAATTCCTTGTTCAAAGAAAACAACTTTTTACAAACAGCTATTACTACTTCCTCAATGAGGCATTTACTCTCTTTCATTTTGGTTTTCAATAAGATGGAGATGAATTGTTTGGGCAATTTGGGAGCAAAATTTGGCATGGGGAGGTCATGCAGGTTTGTTGGTTTGGCAGTGGGTTTTTTTTAAGGAATAAAGATTCACTCTATTTCATTTAAAAAAAAATGTTAGCCTTTAAACAGGTAATCTGCTAGTGTGCATACACAGCAAATTCCTTTAGAAGCTGAATTTTCTTCTCCCAGAGGTATAGCAAATACAATGAGTTTTAAATAGCAATCTTTTATTCCTGAGGTAAAGGCAGAAAAAGAGAAATACCTCTTGCAGGAAAAAAAGATGTTTTATAAAGTAAAGTAGACACTTTCCTGTTTAACCTGTTAGAACTGCTAAGCTAAAACATACTGCAAAGCCACATCACATTAAAGAAGTTGGGAAAAATCCTCAAACACCACTAAAACACCAATCTACAATTTTCAACAACTTGGTTCGCCACTGTCAAAAAAAAAAAAAAATCAGTGAACAAGAGACAGTGCCATCTTACAAGTGTTTGTTGACTTCACATTTTGCAGCTTTAAATTAAAAAAAAAAAAAAAAATCAATTAACAGTTTCAAAACTACCACAACAGTCATCTGCTCCCTACCACCTTTCAAATAAAAGCTACACAAACTCCTGTCCCCTCCTGCCACAGCTGAGGAAGGCTGATGAGCTAGAATGGATGCATCTGTTCTACACATGTTCAATCACCCTTTTTAGTCTGTGCCTCCAGTCAGAAGTTAACAGAGCAATGTAAGCTACTGATAGCTGAGGGTATCCTTGTATGGGCAAACTTCTAATTTCATGCTAACTGATAACAGTTTTTAAATAGTTATGAAACCACAATTTATGTCAAGTACATCTATTTTATATATTGAGAAGCTAAGACTGCCCAGAAACAAGAATCAACATCCTTGCTTTCTCTGACAGGTAATAAAGAAATTAATCATCCACTGCCTTCACAATTAAGACTTGTTTTACCATCTGTATTCTTTCATGAATGACTATATTGCAGGAAACAGTGCAGAATCAGGCTAATAATATGTATTCCTGTTATTGGAATGACACTCTTCCTTAATGAAAATGAGGATTAATCATACAAGAATCTAGTGCCAATTGCTCCAACACGAACTACAATTTTGTTTGAACAAATGCTGACACCAAGTGGCCATTTACCAATAGAGCAGCTGTCTACCCGACAGGTAGTGCTGAATTAATACTATGTACACAAAGCAAGTCAGGCTAGCTCAGTACAAATGAAAATCAAAACACAAAGAGACATAAGGATCAAAAGAGTCAATGATACAAAAAATTGCAGGTCTACCCACGACACTCCTACAGTTACTCAAAACTATCTAGTCGGTAACTGCAGAATTCAAACTGATGTGTAAATTTCTAGATGGTTTTCAAAATCTGGCTGCATTTTTCCATATTCATTTTTGAACTAATGCTGCACAGAACTCAGGGACTTTCCAAGCTGTTACTATTAAAGTAAATTAAAAAGGTAGATTACTTCCATACACACCAAGTGGCTTGCAAATGGCTGGAAAAGCTTCCTGCAGCCTTTTACTGTGCCAATTATCCGTATGTTACTGTAGAGCAATCCAGTGCCACAGACTGCCCTAGCAGGCAGCACGCTTTCCAACACTACCTACAATTTTACTTTTACCATTTGCTACTGATTTTTCTTCCTGGTATATATGTCCATGACTTAACTTTAAGAATATTTGTAACTTTTAAAATAAACCCTGCATTTAAAGTTGATCCCATTTTCCTTCCAAAAGTTCTATCAGAAAGAAGAACCTCAAACCTGAACACTTATAGACATTTTTAAATAGTACTATTTCTATAACATGCTAAGCTAGAAAAAAAAGGGGGAAAAGTGTCTTTTAATTTTGCATACTTCCTTCAAAAAGGGTATACTATTTATGCTTCCAGTTATTCAAAAAGTCAGTCCAACAAGTTTTCTTATACTATCAACTTCTGAATAAACCTGTATACTCACCTTGTTTTCCTGTGTAACAAGTATACTTGCACCACCTGGCTTCAATGGCACTTCTTCCATTGCTCCAAATACATCAGTCTCAACAGAGAAGGTCAGCTCTAAACCCAGATCACTGATATCATTATCTAAAATCCACTGCAAGTTCTTTGCATACTCTGGATCAATAGATGCTACATCCTGATAATTTACAGGTATACCTAGACAAAAGAGACACACAAAACCCTTCAAATAAATAGGATAAAGCAAAAAGGGTTCTAACTTAATACATGGTAGAAGATTGCCCTCTAGAGAGAAACCAGAATAATGCAGTAATAGGAAAAGGGAAAAAGGGATTCACCATCACTAACTACAGCAGAACTGTACTTACTACACTTTAAAAGTATTAAAGAATCAAGTTTCCTCTTTACGTTTTTCTTCCCAGCGAAGCAAATGGCATACCACTTGAGCAGCAACCATTTGCCGTTTTAGCTCGCTAAGGGATTTCAGTAAAAGCATCTAACACACAATGTTAACAGAACACACAATTTTAAATGTTTCCTAAAAAATCTTAAAGTTTTCTACATAACTTTTAGAAACCCAAATATCATTTCTCTATACAATAATGTCTTTTCCCGCAGAAAATTATTTAGAACTGGGGGGTGGGGGGGAGAATACAACCTTTTTGTACTTAGAAAACTCTTTTGCTCTTCAGTTTCCTTTTTAATCATGTTTGCTCTGAGACCTACTACGCAGTTGAAAAAAATTATTTATAGGAATTTTACATTTTCAAACTGAACTTGCAAATCATTTAGAAGTATTAAGACACGAGTTGCTATAAATCTGACTTCTATCCAAGTATAGAAACCACCTATTTACAGCCCCTTCACAGACATGGCACTGAAACAAATTTGAGCAAAGGTGTTGTCGTGGTTTAGCCCCAGCCAGCAACTAAGCACCACGCAGCCGCTCGCTCACTCCCCCTACCCCTGTGGGATGGCGGAGAGAATCAGAGGAGTAAGAGTGAGAAACACTCCTGGGTTGAGATAAGAACAGTTTAATAATTGAAATAAAGTAAAATAGTAATGCTAATAGTAACAGTATAATAATGATAATAACGATATATGAAGCAAGTGATGCACAATGCAATTGCTCACCACCCACCGACCGATGCCCAGCCAGTTCCCGAGCAGCGATCGCTGCTCCCCGGCCAACACCCCCCCCAGTTTATATACTGAGCATGACGTCACATGGTATGGAATACCCTTTGGGCAGTTTGGATCAACTATTCTGGCTGTGCCCCCTCCCACTTTCTTGTGCGCCTGGCAGAGCATGGGAAGCTGAAAAAGTCCTTGACTAGTGTGAGCAGTACTCAGCAACAACTAAGAACATCAGCGTGTTATCAACATTCTTCTCCTACTAAATCCAAAACACAGCACTATGCCTGCTGCTAGGAAGAAAATTAACTCTATCCCAGCCAAAACCAGGACAGGTGTTCAGAACAAGGTGACCCTGAGTTTGTGCAAGAGAACTACCCCCTTCACTACACAAGAAAGCAAACACCAATTACTTTAACTCTGTCATGATAGCTACTTTAGCTCTACCAAGACAGATAAATACCTCGGAAAAGGGGGAGGGGGTGAGGGCAGTAGTAGGTTTAGAGAAAAGCAAGTTATCGGGAAGTACTCTCTGTGCTTCACCATCTTCTGCGCATTGTGAAGTGTCACAAGAGTGCCCATTAGTAGAAGTCTTAGCACACTATGGACTGCAGAAGCAGTACCCCAGAGAGTAACACAAAATTCAAAGGTTAGCAGCTGGTGCAAACATGTAAGTGCAAAAACTGTTACAGTAGTTCCCTGGAAGAGCTGACTAGTGCTGAAATGGTGCATACACAAGCTGTAAGGCATTGTTTTTCCTAATAAAAATCAAGCAACACTCCAGTTTAAGAGAGGGATAGATAATTTACTTATGAATTTCCAGTCATCTCAAAAAAAAAATCTAACAGCTGTCTAGTAGTTTCTAGAGGACTTTCACTTTTGCCAACTAGTAAGCATACATGCATTTCACATATGAAATGTGGAAATAATGATGTCTGAGGGATATAAGCAAAACATGTGGGAAAAGCAGCAGACTGAAAAGCAGGAATCAGAGACTCCTTTAGAGAAGAAACTGAACTAGAGCATTATGATGAGACTACACTCATAGTCAGCATGTTGTGAGACCAAAGCACTAAGCTTCCTCATTTGCTTGACAGATATTTTACCAATCAATAGACTCAAGCCAGGCAGTTACATAAAGAAACTCTGTCAGATTTATCAGCACAGAATTTGAATCCCATGAAATATTATGTATCTTTCTCTTGCTATACCCTTAAGACACCTGTAGTTTGAAAAGGAAGAGAAATCTATCTTAGCATAATTGTGATAAACAGGTATTTCTTTGAAGTTCCGTGTCACACAAAGATACTACAGGCAAGCTCTGAGACAAGTTCAGTAACTATTCAAGGATCTAAGGCCTCCAGCTCAGTATACACTGACCCAGAAATTAATTTTCACTTTTGTTTATGCCATTTCAAGGAGTATTTTGTATTATACTCTGAAACAGGGGGTTTAAGTCTAACAGCAGATAGCACAGTTAGAAATTTATCTGCTATGTGTCTTTGCGGGTTGGAGGTGGAAGTTATTTTTTCTGAACAGAAAAGTTACTGGCTCCTTAGAAAAACATACAAAGTAACTGGACAACAGCACTAGTGAAACTACCTTCTCCTCCCCTGTTTAAGCAGAAGACAGACAGATAGGCAGTCTAAGAAAAACAAACCCTAAGAGGCCTTATTAATTTCTGACTATATTTCTGCCTCAGTTCTACATCCGTAAGAGTGCAGCCCTAATAAACATGAAGACCTATGGGACAATGTTTGATTTCACAGCACACGAAAAAAAAAAATCATGCAAGCTAACATCTTTATAAAGCACATTAGTTGCATGTTAGCTGGGTAATCACTTAAGTTGGTGATCTTTCCTTGCCTACCAGATATTGTTGCAGAAAGATCTCGGTTCACCACAGTGAAAAAAGGTGATGCACCCACCTGAGCTTCAAAAAAGTAGCCACATTTGTTAATAATGCAGGTTTCATCTTCTAATTAAGGCACTTCCACATCATGTCTGTTGACTAAAGAGAAGAGTTCCTTTGAAAGAGGTTCACACTGTTCCTCAGATACAGGAGGTCCTACCACACAACTGGTGGATTAAGTGCCATCAACAGGAAAGGCTACAGAAAACAAGGATTTCTGTGCAATGTGATAAACCAAAGGAATGGGAACAGTCTCAGGCTTCAAAAGATTTCATACTCCATTACTTAAGGCCTGACAAGTAGCTGAAGGGGATCTCTATGTCTGTAACCTGGTAACTTGTATTTGGCATGAACAGCAGTTAGCATAACCCATAGCTGAACCTGAAACAAAAATAAAACAAAACCCCCTAGGAGCACCTGCTGCTGTGCAACTCAGGTTCCTTAAGCAAGAAGAGAGGAGATACAGAAAGCTGAAAGAAAAGGCCTTGGAAAGGTTTAAATAAACCACTGTGATTGAGGCAGAAAAAGCAACTACTTTGGGAAGTGGAGGTGTAATTTTTCCAGTTGTCTGTGTCTGATAAGTAACAAGAAGTGACAAAAACCCATGAACCTTTCAAACTTAAAGAAGTTGAATGTGCACAAACCTCTACAGTTCCAGGATGCCCGTTCAACAGAATGACAAGACCTTACTAAGAGGAACTGGTGAGATCTTATTAAAAGACTACTCACTGCTGTTTCGTTTGCAATAGTGACTCTAGCAAAATGAAAAAAAGAAAAAGAGTAAATAATAGATCATCTTGTTAATTCAGAAACCAACAAATCCAGTGTATAATCATAATTCAAACTAGAAAAGAACCCAAATTAATTAGTAGTCATTTCCAAAAAAGGTGATAAGAGCAACACTTGACTATTCTCAAGGTGTCACTGAACAGCAGAAAAATATGGTTCTCTCATTTGTGAATACATCACATGGAGATTAACTCATGAGCATCATGATTCTGCTCACACAGAGGAATCCCTTGATTGATGTCAGAGGCCAACCCTTAAGTCAGTGCCAAATTGTGCCACACAAAGATATGTCTACTTTGGAACCACTTTCCTATGTGAAGATCAATGACTGGGAAGCCTGATGAGGCATTGCCAACACGGTGCTGCTTCACAGTCACTCTCCTGCAGCAGAAAGCAGTACTGAGGGAGAGAAGTAAAATGCACCCCTTTGACAAGAAGATCTTGACAAAGATGACTGAGACTGCAGCATCAACAAAGTGGAACAGTGTTCTTTGAACACTTTCAGGGAAGAGAAACAGTAAATCTGAAGTTGATCTGTCCTGGGCTCAGCAAACATCACAGGAAGACTGTGGGTAGACAGAATGAATACAGAAAAACAGAATGACATGCAAACAATCCCTTGAAAACCTTGCTAGTAGCCTTAAAGTAAGGAGTGGTTCTTGAGAAAAAGTAAAACTTCCAACATCAAGCTATCTTATACTTCCAAAGAAGATTAAAGAATAGCGCATAAATACAAATTAAATTCTGCATGCAGCGGCAAAGGAATTCCTGTACTTAGAGGAGTAACAAGAATGCAAAGGAAATTTACCCTTCCATCACATCTTCATGCAAGAGGAAAAGTTTTTCATGACAATGCCGAACAGGGACATCATGTTCGACAATCAAGAGGCACAAAGGTTCGCAAAGAAGAGCGAAGAGCCTTAGACCACAGATACCACCAGCTAACAGCAGTCCTTTTCTATTAAAAAGAAAAGTTACATTTTTATAAAGACTTCTGACCAACCCTCGTACGCTACAGTAAGCGTACGAATTAACTTTCCTCAGGAAGGAGACAGGATAAACCTGCATTAGTTCTGAAACACTATTCCAGTAGTATTTGTTGGAGTGGGTAGACAGGGAGGTTCGCAACAGTATGGATTCACTTTGTTTTACATGACTGAAGAACTGCAGGCATAATAAAGAATGGCTGATAGATTTTTGCCAGAGTTCATAAACATTATCAACTTTTTAAGTCTATCCTAAGTTATCTAGGGAATGATTATTTTCATTTCTCAAGAATGACATTACATGACAGGACAGATGAGTTTCACAAGTGTGATGCAAAGAATTACATACACCACAAAAACAATTGGCCACACTAGTCTGCTTTTCAGGCATTCCTAGTCAGCAACCTTAAAGACAACTGAATTATATAATCATGCTTTAGACAGATTAATGACGACTTCCTTGTTTCTAATTTAAGATTCATATTCAAACATAAATTGTAAGATTGGCTATTTTATTAGAAGTTGCTAACTGTATAAAATTCCTACATAGTTTTGCTAATGTATTTCTGTATTTTGCAACTGTAACAGTACCTAAGAGAGGCTCATACTGGAAAGCAATCACTGCCATATTATGTTGTGACTCTGATGTACATAAAAGATTAGCAAGACATTCATTTCCAAGGCTTTTTCACTTTTAACACATATACAAAAGTAAAAAAGGAAGAGGTTCACTGCTCAGACAACCATTATGACTAATAAACAGGATTTTAATAAAACCATACCAAGAATATGTTTGTAGAATGACCTTGTGAAGTAAATGTTCACCAGCTGCCTGTGATTCAGAGCTAGCCCCAGGATCTGGCCTGCGAAACGGAAGTAGTTCAAATGATCTGGATTTACAGAAGAGTTGCTGTTGGGCTGGAAAGTTGTTCCTGTAAAATAAAAAGAGTATCATGTTTCATGACTTTTTATTTTTAAGTGAAGTTGGTATTTATCAAATACACTAAGCATCAGAAACCACTAAGTTTTATTTTGGGGTTCTGAAAGATTGTTTGGGGTTTTTTGTTCACAACACAAATACGTCAGAAAGAAATGTACTACAATGTAATGACATCCTATTATTACAATGATACTGCTTAGCCAGTCTCCAAGGCACCACTCTGAAATAATTATCATCAACGTAAGGGTAATCATGATCTGCTAAATTCAGTCCTCCATCTTACTAGATTGCCATGTGTATTTTTTACTCACTCTAATGGGCCATGCTTCTATCAACTTTTGAACATGCTCAAAAGAAGGATCATAATGCATCCACTTTCTTTCATCTGGCTCCAGCCAGATACAGACAGGACACAGTCCAGTCCTGGTCTCCTTAGAAAAGGCTATCTCAAGCTGACATCCCTGAACTTTTCCTTTGAACTTTCAGGAACTAACCTATGCCTTTGCTGTTGACTGAATTCCTTGCCACTTCCCAAGACTTTGTAAGGTAGAAAGCAAAACATTTATCACTGATGATGATGTGAAATCTTTTATTGATAGATACTTGCTTTACATGAAGCACCCAAAAGACAAAGAGTCAAATATAAGGCAGACCTGTGGAGATCAACAACTAATTTTACCACAAAAGTTAACAGACTGAATTTCAGGATTTCTAAAAGGAAATAAAGGAATACCTCCACAGTTCCCTTGTAGATGCAGAAGAACGGAAAACACTTTCTATACTGCTCTCAAAGTGTTATGTCCTTCTACCACCAGGCAGAAATAGCATGGACACATTAAAACCAACAACTCTCCTCTTACAAGAGGGAGAACAAAATCAAGAAAACTTCAAATTAAGAAAAACATTTCATCCGTAGTTATAAAAACGTACAATTAACAGATCGCTTCTCTCTCTATATATGAGATCAATTCTGTCAGTGTTGCTTTTAAAAAGTAAGTCTCATATTCTGAAACCAATTAAGTGACTTTTTCTTGGATTATAAAAATGCTTTTATAAAAGAAGACACCCTAAAATTAGGGGGGGGGGGGGGGGGGAGGGACGAAAACAACC